GTCAGAAATGGGGTAACTAGAATTGGATTACTATTGGTGACGTTGATCCGGAGTCCAATTAATTTAATTATTAATTAAATTTTCAGGATACTCAAAATCGGCAGCCACTTAGAATTGATTACTTTTGGTCGTCATCCTGGATCCAAATTAATTATTTAATTAATTAATTAATTAATAAACAAATTTTTCACATGACAGAATTGAGTGCCTTGTTGCATTACTTTCGCGTAAAGGCGACTTTAATTAGGAGCTGTCCTGGTGTTGATTTGAGCTCCGCCCTTACCTATTCTTCCGCTGCGATATGATGTACTTGGCGACTCGATTTACGCAGGTCCGACGAGCGAGGTCCTCATTGTCGTCGCGTGGCTGCTCTGCAGCGCCCTGTTACGCATCGGCCGCGCTCTTCTTCTACTATATAAAAAGGAGCTGCCGCAGCAGCTAGACGACGCAGTCGCGGATCGACTCCTGCGGATTCATTGGTCAACTGGTGCGCGCCTACGCGTGACGCTGGCGGCGTTGACGATTTCATCATTCCCGCGCTCTCCATCATCGCCTGCCTACAGTGATCATACATCGCAGACGATCTGGAGGCAAGAGTCGCTTCTCTGATCACGCAGCCCGCGCCACCGTCCTTTCCCTGCGAACCTACCGGACTAAACGGGCCGGTAGGTGTCATTGCAAGCTGCTGCCTGTGTGACTGTCCCGGGCCTGCTTCGTCGGCAACCCAAGGCTCGCAGTCACACTATTCAGGACTTTTTAGCTGCCCGTCCTGTGATAGGAACCATTCCCGATTAAAATTTGTCAAAAGTCTGATTCAAGATCCTGTGATTCGTGCGTGAGAATTCAACTTTTATTAAAAATTTGTAAAAATATTTATTTAATCACGGACAACATCAGATATTGTTCGGAAGCATCTCGTGATTCACCGTTTCCAGCGGAATTCGTCCCGATTTCTCCAGTTCTCAATCGCCGATTCTGCATCAAGATTTGTATCTTTTGCATACGTAAAAACGACACATCTGTCCCGACAGCGTTCCTGCTTCTCGCCGAAAGCGATCGACAGAGTCAGGATAGTTGACCCGACGTGCTAACCGGCTGACGAAGACGTGACAATGATGGATTTCTCCAAGCTCATGCCCGTTCATCCGGACAGCGTTCCACGATCCACAGCGAAACGTCCAGAAACAGACATTGTTACGATTTCTGTCCAGATACAGACAGAATCTGCTCACGACATAGTACACGTTGTGTAATCCGACTAGACAATAATCGGCCTGCGTTTGTCCCAAATGTTACGGGACGCACCTAACTCGTCTTGCGAGTGCTTGGCCGACCTCTCCGGACCGTTCCCGATCCGTGGACTTTGCTTACGACGTATCGACTGTGTTCAGACAGCTGATAGGGACATATCAGATTATTGGGAGATAGTAATCCGACTTTTTTTGACTTTTTGTGATCGAATAGCGCTCGTCTTCTCAAACGGGAGCCTAATCGGCACTGTGTGAACGCCGCAGTTAGGAGATCGATTCCAGCAATTCTCATCTTATATAAATACGCGTTCGCACGTTCTAATATAGTTTTAATCTAATCGGATTCACTTAATATAGACATTAAGATATTATCACGTATTACCAAGGCAATAACGCGTACCTCCCAACGCGCACGCCCGCATTCGAAGCCATATTTCGTGCCTCATATATGTACCGTACTCTTGCGCATGTACTCACACATAAGCCGACCGAGTCCGAAATGCGGAATACGGTCGACGTATTCTGGCGGGCAGTCGGAACAATAATTGACATCATTGAATATCTTGTTTGCCGCTGCTGTGGCGGATATTGTGAAAGCAGCGATATGTCAGATATACGGGCTGAAGCCGGGTGGCCTAGGCGATTGATCATTGCGTTACCACACGTGACAGTCACGTGGGACCGCGTTCTAATGAAGCGGGACATCGCTTTACAGGAAACACGGATTGTCCTATTTGCATAGATCATTCATGCATAAATATATCTTTATTGTGCTCGCGCAGGAGTTGAGTTCAGATCAAAGCGATGTTGGCCTGATGTCGAAAAGACTCGGAAAAGATACCTCGTCACCGTTATGCAAATAACATAATAAATATTCTGTAGCTCGCAATGCGGCGGGCTGACACACGCAGTACACAAACACACACACCACACACACACACACACCACCACACAGCACACACACACACACACACACAACACACACACACCACACACACACAACATGTAAGCGAAACGTTTGAAAGTGATTGTGGCGTTTTTGCCGCTGTCTACGGCGTTACCATTCCCTTGTTTTTTACTCACGTTGCGGCGCAGACGACAACAAAGTCCGCACCTCAAGGCCTGCCAGCTCTAGTTGTCTGCATTCCCAAAGCAAAGATTAAGTCCATCAAGATGAAGTGTCAGTCGGTCTTGTGTAGTGTATACCGCCTGTACTAAGTTTACCAGTCGGGTGGCTTAAATATTTAAACTTCAAATTATCTAAATTATCAATTAGCTTCGTCTATATTTACCGATAATATTTGTCTTTACATGTACTTACAACATCCCAGCTATGGATATCAAGGAATAATACATCGAAATTTCGTAGCCTATAAGAAGCGCGCGTAAAAGTTTTGCTGGCCAAAACACGGTTTATACACATTATACCGCCATTCTTGTTTTCACTGTAAAAAACGCTCTATGGCAACTTTATGCTACATACGGATGGAATGGGATGGACGATGGAAGGATGGGAATTTTCGAAAGCTAGTTTCAAATTTCTATTTACAAATTTAATATTTGATTTCATTCAATATGATTTTTGTCGTGAAGCGAAACGATGAGCGAGAGAGCATTTACCGCTTGTCAATTTCTGCCACCTGGCCTATTCCACGCTTTTTAGATTATTTTTGCGCTATGAGTGGCCGTTTTTATGACCATTGTCGCAGCGCAAACTAAATTGCTCGGTCTCAAGCTGTTACGTAGATAAGGTTCGCTCAGAATTGACGCGAAATATCGACTTGTGTGTCCCGTGCCATTGTGTAAATACGGTTACAATTCCCGTTTGTGATACGTGCGTAGTATGTATGTATGTAGTAGTAGTATGTATGTATGTATGTATGTATATATGTATGTATGTATGTATGTTATTATGTAATGTTGTATGTATTGTAGTTGTATGTATGTATGTATTGTATCGTATGTATGTATGTATGTGATGTACTTACTGTATGTATGTATGTATGTATGTTGTCACTGTATGTATGTATGTATGTATGTATTCATACCTACATACCTACATACATACATAATACATACATACATACGTATGCATGCATGCGTGCGTGCGTGCGTGCGTGCGTGCGTGCGTGCGTGCTTGCGTGCGTACATGTGTGTGTGCGTGCGTGTGTATTACCTATGCTTATATATTGTACGGCTATTGTCACGGACCTGCGAGACATTGATATTCTTACCGGATTAATCTTACGCACCGAAGTTAGCTACGCGTAACTGTTTCATTTGCTCCTAACTCTGATAGTTGCTATAATACTATTTTAGTACTAGATTGGCTAGTGTGGAGGTGGATAACCTACCCCCATGCAATGAGCTTTTAATGCGTTTAGAATAGACCACATGGGGGACAGTAATGAACGCAGGCACACGTAATTAGAACCATGGCCATTAGGATAGATATCTCGTCGCCACAACACAATCTCGCTTCAATCAAAAATTCATAATTGCCAATCGGAACTCTATGAGCGAGCTCGATGCGCGAGCGAGGATAACATCGAGCGAGCGAGCTACTGTTGCGGGCTCCCCCTCGTGGCGAAGAGATCTCTAATTCGGCGTACTTCGCACAGTTACCTGGTGATCGAGTGCTGCTCTCAACAGAAACTGCGCGGAACTGTGTAAACAAGTGCGCAGACGACGTCGGAGAGAGAGAGCGGACATTTTATTAACCGGCAGGAAGCCTAGCAAGCTGAGATATAGATCCGATAGCTATCGCATACAGAGCCGATACCGGTAGAGAAAATACAGATCGCGATGTGTTATTTAACTAGTGAAAACAAACATCGCGCAAATTAAACTTATCAACGTTTTATTAGTCATTAATAAATCACGGCCAGTGTTTGCACGGCGACTTCGGTGTCAAATTTTGCGTTGATGCGCCCAAAGCAACACGGCTAGCGCGCCATCGTTCTGTGGACAAGGAATAATTGATCAGTTATTTGAGCAATATATATGACTTGTTAATTTTTAATTTACACCACGCATGTACACATATACACACATGCACACACGCACACACACACACACACACACCCACACACACACACACACACACACACACACACACACACACACACACACACACACACACCACACACACACACACACACACACACACACACACACACACACACACACACACACACACACACACACACACACACACACACACACACACACACATCGATCATTCTCGCACTCAAACGTCGCTCACAATGATGCCTTACATGACTTGCCATCCTCACATGCCGGTGTAAGATAACCAGGGCGGATACAGAACGGCTGAGTCGCCCCATGACGATTTTAACCATCAATTAAGCTTTGACTTAAACGTTGCTCGGAATACACGCTGAAACCTGACGCCATCTCTGACGAGTATTTCGTCTAAACGCGGTTACAAACATGACACGAGAATTTGGGACGATGAGTTTTTAGGCTTCATAAAAACCCGTCTATAAAGACACTTCTGCGAGTAATGATGCATGCACTAATAAACTAATACCTGTACAATCTACCATGGTTATCTAATTTACCGGAGAACATATTTTTAGAGACTATTTCTTACAGTGATTAGATGCCAAGATGCGTATCAACATACGCAAATGATAGTATAGGTGTATTTATAAATGGTATATGGATTGAAATGTGTCGCTCCAAAATATTGTAAAACTAATATTTTTTGATACCATGTATGTAATGATGTATGTTCAACATCTGGAAAACAACAACAACAACAACAACAACAAAAAACATACGCAAATGAAGTTATTGATGGCTGCAGAAATTATCAGTAATTATGAATTGTAATGACTCGCAAATAAAGTTTGTCTGTGCTCTGAATCGGATTTTCTCATATACCCTGTAGGAGGCTGGCTTTCTTACTTTCTTTCCCACCCACACCCTTAGCTGCTCTTTACCACACTTTCCTTTCTTTTCTTGCCTCCTCCCCCCCCCATAGACACTTCTCCCCTCTCTCTCTCTCTCGCCGGCGGCGGCGGCGGCGGCGGCGGCGGCGGTGGTGGTACGTGATAGTGGTGTTGGTGGTGGTGGTGTTGGTGTTGGTGTTGGTGTTGGTGGTGGTGTTGGTGTTGGTGGTGGTGGTGGTGGTGATGGTGGTGCTGTTGGTAGTGGTGGTGGTGGTGGTGCTGCTGCTGCTGCTGGTGGTGGTGGTGGTGGTGATGGTGGGGGTGGAGGTGGTGGGGGTGGTGGTGGTGGTGGCGGTGGCAGTGGCGGCGGTGGTGGTTGCGGTGGTGATAATAGTGTTGATGATGATAGTGGTGGTGGCGGCAGCGGCGGCGGCGGTGGTGGTGATGATAGTGTTGATGTTGATAGCGGTGGTGGTGTGGGAAAGGGTGGGGCATACGGCCCAGGGCAGCGTTGTGTCGGTGCATGCAGAAGGCGGGCCTGATATAGCAACATCACGGTGCATCATATATCGCATGTACGTATATATACATGCTGGGCATGTTAGCGCTTCTTTACCCGCGTACAGAAGCTGTGATTATACATGCAGAGTCACCATCATGTGGGATGGAGGTCAGAGCTGCAAGGAAGCAAGCAAGCGTACAGCTGTCGACAGCTGTAATGTATTGTCGGTGCGTGTAGGGTAGCTAGTAGTAAGGAGGAAGGATGCGGAAGGAAGCGGGAGGAGAGCCCTAGAGGCGCTGAGGAGATAGCGGAGAATATCGCGAACGGAGCTTTGTGAAACGCGCCCCTGGTAGCCATGTGGCGGACCGCGCTAGCTGCCATCGCAGATTCGTTGATTTAGATACGCAAGCGCGATTGATCATTAGAACAGCTGTTGATTTCTAAGTAATTCGGTTTGTGAGGCAAGTCTTACAGTTTGTGTGAGGCACCGCGCGCGCGCGCGCGTGCGTGCGTGCGTGCGTGCGCGCGCGCGCTGTGTGTGGGTGTGTGTGTGTGCGTGTGTGTGTGTGTGGAGAGAGCAGAGAGGGAGGCGAGAGAGAGGAGAGACGAGAGAGTGTGTGTGTGTGTGTGTGTGCGTGCGTGGTG